CCACACTAATTCCAGGGAGCCTTGGGGACTCTGGAACATGCATGTGGAGAGCTTCGGGTGGAAGTGCAGACACCCTCACTCTGGATCCAGTTTCTAAACAGAATCAGGCGCTTTCTGGGGAGGCTCAAGTGCCCGCTGTGACCCTTGTGCCCTACCCTGGTCCTGCAGTGTCCAGGGATGTGGCCCATGCCTTCCAAGCCCTCCAGGGCCCTGCCCGTGCCTCCAGGAGAGGCCCTCCCAAAGGCCGTGGAGGGGCTGAGGGCCTCAAGGCAGCTTCACTGTGGAAAATTCAGACATTGGCAGGAACCAAGCGAAGAGAACAACAGAGCCAGATTCACCCATCACCCCATTTACCCTGCCATCCACCGGGGCCTCTCCTGCTTGCTTCCTTCTCACCCTCCCAGTGGGCTCAATCAGCATTTTATGACCTCCGCCCCAGCATTCCTGGCTCTCACCCCACTTCCTGGCACATGGGGAGCACAAATGGTTTCCTGGCCTCCTGTGCAGCTCAGATGTGTTGGTGGTGTGTGTCACACACATCTTCTTGGGGGTTCCTGATTGTAACTCTTACAACTGGGCTGCTTTTACCCCTCGGCACCCCACACCCATGGAGGAGAGGAGAAATTAACAGATGAACTGGGTGCTCTGCTGACTGGGACCAAAATCAGCCACAATTTCTTGTGTCATCTGGGGCTGAGGAGCGCATCCCCTGCGAGCCAAATGCCCCAGAGCCAGTCTTCTGGAGCCCAGCCTTTCCCTGGAAGGGAACACATGTGTGTTCCGGGCAACACCCAGTCTTGGAAGGCCCTGCAAGGACACAGGGACACTTTCCCATGTGACTAGTGGGGTTTTAAAAAAATTTTTTTTTTATTTTAAAGGGGGTAAAAATTAAACACAACATAACAGAACAAAATAGGACATAAGAAAGCATATAAAAGATACAAACTTCAAAACCTGATGATCTGAGAGCCTTACCATCCATCACACTGTCCCCTGTTCTCCTTCAAATAGCTGTCCATGTCTTCCCACACAGAGAATTCATACAAAACAACATAGCATAAAACTGATTCAAACAGAATGAGAAAGGCGTTCAAGACGTTCAAAACCAGACAATAGGGAAGTCACCAAAAGCCATCGTAGAGTCTCTTATTCTCCTCAAAATAGCTGTCCATACTTTCATGTACATTGAAGTTCAACAAAACAAAACAGGCAGGTGGGGAGTGGTTGCTTGATTTCCTGACGATCCAGGTCCCAGCATGAATCGGGTCCCAGTAAAGGCTGGAGGCTCCCGTCCTGGGCCACTGTATCCTGCCAAGCTCACAGCCGCTCATGGGGGATGGGGGTTTGCTTCAGGCTGTGTCTTTCTAATGAATTGACTATTTTACTGCCCAAGTTCTGAAATGGCCAACAGACCATAGAAAGACATCTCTTTAGGCTCCTGCTTGAAACCAACAGCATCAGGAAGCAGCCTTGATTCAGGGCCAAGACTTGTGTGTTTTAAAAGGAGGCTATTATAGAGTTGGTGTTTTGTGTAGTGCCAGCATAACAACCATGGTGCAGGGGCCTGCTGGCTGCCTGTAGCACTGCCTGTGTCCCTAGCCCTCCTGGGTCCCCACCACTGGGAACAAGTGGGTTTCAGGACCTACACAGGTACACTGGGCTCTGGACTCACCTGCACCTCGCAGCGCAGTCTGAGCCTGGATTAGTGTGAGTCTCCCTGAGCTGTTCCTCCTGATGTCGGCTCTGAGGACAGGACTCAGGGCTCCCACTGGCAGCCATCTGCCCTGCCACTGTGGCTGGACACTGGTCTATGGGTCTGTTTTGCGGAAGGAGCTCTTTATCACAGGAAGAGGTAAAGCAGCAGGCGATGTGGCTGAGCTACAGATGGTGGTACAATGTCCGAGACCCACGTTGGTCCTGGCTGGCCTGCCTGCCCACACTGCGCCACCCTGACTCCTTCCTGGGCCTCCTGCCTCAGCCTCCTTGGCCATTCTTGACCGCTGCCTGTGGTGTGGCTCAACCTGGAAGGCAGACCCAGGGTAGGCAGCAGCATGGGAAGGCAGCCATGTGGTAATCCATTCCCACCGCAGAAGCTGTGGAAACCACAGGTGATCAGAGATGCCACTGTCCTGTGTCATCCATCCCACCAGTGCCTGGTGCTCAGTCCTCCATGGAGGGCACACGGCAGGCACCATGGCTGCTGTCCCTTGCCCTTCACGAGGCATGTGCAGAGCAGTAGCCACACAAGGCTGGGGCCCTGGGACCCGGTGCCTGCTCCAGGGAGCCTTAGAGGCCGCACTTGTGGACCAGTGCACATGCATGCACACACATGCACATTGCACACATGTACAGGTATTCCACACATACATTCATACGTCACATCCACACATCTGGGCACACACACAAGGCACATCCACGACTGGCCTCTAGGGCTAGGGCTATTGGCTGTGGAGTGGACCAAGTGGAGGGCAGGAGCACACGGGGAGCCCCAGCCCCTGCCAGTCTCTGGAAGGACCCCTGGACCCTGTAGAGAGGCCCTGACTTCACCAGTCCCAAGCCGGGGGTGGAAGAGGCTGGAGACTGGGGAGGGCTCAGGAAATCCCAGCTGCTGATCCACCGTTGCCTCTCGGTTCTTTTCAGGGGCCCATCTGAGGATAGGACCCTGCTTTCTCCACTGCAGGCCTGGAAGATTTGAGACATTTGAGGCAAAACACCTGCGCAGCCTGAAACCACCACGGGGGGGGGGGGGCATTGACATTACATTGTGGCCGAGTCAGATTGGGCAGCAGCACCCTCTCCAGCTGGGTCCCTGAGAGCCCAGGACAAGGCCCTGCCCCAGGCTCCGGGTCCCACAGTCTTCCACGGCCAAAGAGAACCAGTTAAACCGTTTTTAACCCCCAAGACTGGTTATTCCTGATGTGCGATCCTCTCAGGTGACAGATGTGAGGGGACCGGCTCTGAGGGCACCGCGGTGCAACGTGATTCCCATTTGACCAGAATGTTTAAATCTCGACTTTTTCCTTAGCTTCTTTCCGCCTTTGTAAGTCGGTACCATTTTTCAGGGTATTGAGAGAAAATCAAAATTTGACCATAGAGCATAGCTTTGTCTTTTACATTTGGATCATTTGAGGAGGAGTCTCCAGCTGAGCAGACTATGGGACCATGGAGCCCAGCCAGCAACCCACACAGGCCAAACCTTTAAAATGGATGAGCAGGACCTGCTGGTGCACACCTGTAATCCTAGCACTCAAGAAGCTGAGGCAGGGGGATCACTGCAAGTTCAAGGCCACCTGGACTACAAAGTGAGTTCAAGTCCAGCCCAAACTGCACAGTGAACCTGTCTCAAAAAGACAACCAACCAACTGAGCAGATTCCTTCAAACCTACCAGGCCCCAGCGTAACCCTAAATCAGGGCAGTAGCCCGCCTTGGGGGAGGGGGTGGGGATGCAGTAGCCACAACCTCTGCCCCCTCTCCCAGCTGCTGAGGGCTGAGAAACAGGGGAGGTGGGGGTCGGCCCAGTAGCCCCAACCCTTTAGCACTCAGGTATCTCTAAATGCCAGCACAGGGGAGGGGAGACATCACCTCTCCAAGCTGGGTAGGGACGCTGGGTAGGGACTCTGGGTCGTGTTCTCAGCCACCTGGGCCCAGGTGGGGCCTCCTGACTTCCCTTCCTCCAGCTGCTCCCTCATGGGACTCTTCAGGGCTGGGTCAAAGACCCTTCCTCAACTGGGGTCTTCCTGCAGGTCTTACAGGGGCTTTATACTTGCTGTTGTTGATTAGAGTCCCTCTCCAGCAGAGCTCTACTGTGTCTCCTTGGGATCTCTCCTGGCTTCCAGAGTTCCTTACTGGTCTTCAGCTGGCAGGAAACCCACGCTTGAGTGGACTCAAATAACCTGCAGAACAGCAAGGCTGCTTTCGAGTACCGCCTCTCTGGTCTCCAGGGGAAGGCTCTGGAGCCCGCACTGCAGAAGCCATCGTCCCATCCCACTGGCCCAGGAGCTCAAAGGTTACAGATTCTGGGCACAGGAGAAGGCCCTGGGCCCCAACTAGGTTCTAGACCTGCCCAGATGACAAAATCTGCCTTCAGTGTGGGGCTGGGTGCAGAGCCAGCCAGCCACTGCAGGGGGTCAGTGCTGGCCTCCTCTTCCTCACCCCCCTGTAGCCACTTCCTGCCTGTTAGTAATCTATTCACACCACAGTTTTTAGCTTTTTCTCTTAATATTAACAACATGAACTCTTGTACATATTCACAGAAGAGAACAGATCACATCAGATGCTGACAGCCCTCTAGAGGACACATAGCCAGCCAGGCTCACTCTCCTCTTCTTTATCTGTCTTTTAAATTTTTGACAATGAATATACACTTGAAACAGGCAAATAATACTGGAAGTTACTTTTAAAAGCATAGTCTCAAAATTCTGGGCACCAGCAACCGACCATGGGCCCAAGGGACCAGCAAGGGGAACTAGAGGGGATCAGTGGCAAGGCGCCCCCTTTGGCTTGTCTGACTTCCTAAACTTGCTGCCTCCTTCTCCCAGCCTCCTGGAGTGGCTGTGTGGTGTCCTGTGCTAGCCCTTATGTCTGTCATGATGTGCGGTGCCCGCTAGAGCTTCGTAAACGCACCATGACACGTCTCCACACGGGGACGGGAAACACTGGCTTTCCGCATATGGCACTGACTGCCATATCAAGACACTGGGCAAGGTGGAGGTATTGGGTTCTGGGGCTGGGGTTTCAGTCAGATTTCCTTGCAGTTTCTAGAACATGAGGTGAAGGGGGAGCTGGCTCCCACCCAGGAAGCCTGCCTCTGCCCCCACCCTGGTCATTCCAAGAACTGACCAAGGAAAGGCTGTGCCCAGCCACTAACCTGAGACCATACATTTCCTACCACTTTGTTCACTGATCAATGAAGCTGGTATTGTGAAAATTGATACGGACAAGGCCACCAACAAGAGTTCACTAAGAAAGCTCTGGACACGCTTGAATAAAAGCTTTTGTGAATTTATTTAATTTAAAAACATACAAACAGCTAGAACCAAACTGAATTTAAAAAAAAAAAAAAAAACTGCTTAAAACCAGGATCCTCACTGCAGGCCAGCACGAGGCCCCCAGAAAACATGGGAGCAAAGTCAAGCCAGGCCTCAGGTGGACCCCGAGCTTGGTGCACTCTAGGGCTGAGCCTCTCCTGACTCTGCATAGCTAGGCAGGGCCGGTACACTGCTGCGCCCCCTTCCTCTCTTCAAAGTCACCCCAACATCAGCACCTCTGGGTCAGCGTGGTGCTCTGAACCATAGGAAGTCCTCTGAGGAGAAGCCTCCCGAGTTTGAGCACTGGTGACCCCTCCACCAGTCTCAGCCAGTCCGACACCCGCCCCCAGGCTGCTCCACTCTCTCGTCCAGCTGAAGCTCCCCAGCCCTTGCCACCTGCTCACCCGGCTACAGTGGGAGGATGATGGCTGGCCCTTCCCAGTGTCTGGTGTCCTGGGGTGGCCCGGGCAATGGTGGCCACCTGGGCCTCAGTTCCTACGTTCTGGGGCCTGGGACCAAAGGACTGACTCCCATGACAGCCAAGGCTCTCTCCTGGCCTCCTGGGTACACAGTTCCTCATCTTAGGGGGTCTGGGATCCTGGCTTCAAGAGAGGGGCTATTGAGCAGAGGCTGAGTATTTCTCCCCTGGAACCTCAAGACACCAGGGTAAGAAGGACAGAACTATGAAACCTTTCTTTTGTAGAACTGTGAATGCAGGGCACATCTGATGATTGTGCTGAGTCCTCTCCAGGATGCCCAGTGGGTGCTGGAACAGGTATGGCAACAGGTATGGATTGTGGTGCTTCGCCATCCACACCTCGGGGGTGGGCTCCAGCAGCAGCTTCCAGAACCAGCCCGGGTTCCTCAGGGCCTGAACTGGAGTCAGGTTCCGCATGATGACAACGTCGTGTTCGTAGCCCACCACCAAGAAGATCTCTAGGCCCAGAAGCCAGGCCTCAGCTTCCCATGGCTCCACTGGCCTCACGGCTCCCAGCTCCAGCACCATGGGCTCCACTGAGGCCCTAGCCACACTGGGCAACAGCTGTGGAGGAGAGGAGGGGAGAAGGGGGCAGGGCCAATGGGTGCAGTGATGAGCGATGGGTACCTTCCAGGGGAGGTCCTGGGTCCAGTCTTCACCTTTGGGGAGCAGGGATACCGGCTGAGTGGGTACCTCAGAGGGACCTGAGTCTTCCTCCTGTAGTTCTAAGTTAATCTCTGACTCTGAGGACTCTTCTTCATCCTCAGACCAATTCTCCTGCTCCATGAAGTCCCACTCTTCCTCCTCCCATTCTTCTGACTCTAGTGAATCTTTGTATTTCAGGAAGGCAGCCTTGAAGCAGGCAAAGCAGTTGTTCAGCCAGCATCCATGCTGCAGCTCATACAGCCAGAAAGTGTAGAGGTAGGACACGCCCTCTCTGCTCAGGTGCACAGCCACTGGGGGACACATGGCCACGCTGCTGCCTCTGGAGATGAATAGCAAGGGGGCACTTGCTGGGGACCTCAGGTGCCAGGCTAGGTGGGAGTTGGGAGAGGAAGATGGGCAGGAGCAGGAAGGTGTTCCTTGTTCAGGGAAACTGGAGGTGGAATAACTGGGTCTCAACTGAGTGAAGACTTACCAAGGTTAGGAAGTCTGAGCTTCTGGAAACTTCTCCAACTGGGCATTCCTTCAATCTCTGAAGAGCTGGAAAGGCAAAGAAGTAGGGTTAAGCACCCCCTGGGGGCCAGCTGCTGGAAGCCCCAGGTAAAGGATATGAGGATTCAGGCTGGTTGGTTGGGCCCTATTTAGATTGAGCCATATGTATCAGAAGTCCCTTGGCTAACCCCTTACCTCATCCATCACCCCGATATCCTCAGAGCCCAACACCTATGAGTCCAGCCTGTGGAGCTCCAGACCTAGAAGGAGAAGTCAGAACCTTCCCTTCCCCAAGTGGCCCACAAGGACAGAGGGATAAATTCCCCTTGGATTCTAGACCAGAATCAGAGCTCTGGGACACTCTGGGGGCATCTCACTTTCGAAGCCTTGAGCCTTAGCTCTCAGGAGTCAGCTAAGGGGATTGGCCATCTTGGCTTTTATAAGAGCTCCCATGTGCCCTGGGAAGATCTGCATATTTCCCATGAGCCCTGGCTCCAGGAAGGGAAAGTGCTGAGTCACTCTGGTCAGGCTGCCATGTGCAAAAGGACAAGAGCTGTGATGTCCTCCAGAGTCTAGACTGCTCCTCTGCCCACCTCATGAAGGCCTGTCACTTCATGAGCAGGTCAATTTTTGGTCTTGCAACTGACATCTTTTGTATCCCTGCGTGGCAACTTTAGTGAAGCTCTTCCTGGTTTTTCTCATTTTCATTTCCTTTGCAAGGTGATTCTTTAAATGCAGTTGCTTTTATTAATAACACAAAATTGTAGATAAAGGGCTTTTGTAATGATTTATCATATTAACTGGGAATAGTAATTCAATCCTTTTTTTTCTGAACTTCTGTCTGTGCACCCAGCTGCTTCTGAGCCATCTTCCTCCACAAATTTACATCCAGACTGGAGGTCAGCAGCGGCCAGGCCTGAACTGTGACTGCAGGAGGCTCAATTGGCCTCTAGGATACATACCTTGGATTGATGCTTTCTACTCAGTACTGCACCTTAAATTCTTCTTGGGAGCTTAGAAAAGTTGCAGAGCCCTTGCTCCAGCCGATAGTGACCCCCTGCAAGTCACACCTCCTTTGCTTGGGGTGGGTGCTATGATTTGGTTTTTGTTGGAGAGCAGTGAAGCTGAATGAATACACATGCAAGGCTGTTCAGCCCAGGCACAGCTGAACTAAGATCGAGGAGACACCCAGGGGCAAGATAGGCCACAGCTGAGGCTACCTGGAGGCTTTCTGGATAGTTTTCCTTAATTAGCATGATCTGTTGCTCTGAGGGGTCCTTGAGCCCCTCCCAAGATTCTGCTCAGGTTTCTTCCATTGTCCACTCAGCTCCTTGCTAGGGTCAGTTGGCCGGCTGGCCAGCAGAGTTACAGCTCCGCCGAGGATTTTGGTCCTCCTGGGGTCCTAAAGATCATGGCGCTTGTCTCATACCTTTGGGCCTTCACCATGTACCCTTTTGGGGGCTTGGGGATCCAGGCACAGATTCCAACAGTTGTGCAGTAATGAAAACTGGTATCCATTCCAGTCATATTGAGGTAGAATAAAAGAAATAAAACAGACTAGGGCAGCGAGAATTTAAAATTGTGCTTCAAAGAAAACCTGCAGCTTCAGAACACAAGCCCAGTGTATTTCCTCCCAAAACCGCACCCTGGCCACGTCACACACAAGTTTCACTCAGAAATCACCTTTTCCTTCCGCTTCCTCCTGCCCTGAACACAGCTGCAGTAGAGACAGCTGTCTCACGCCTTCATCATGTCACACTCGCGTGGACGGCCTGTACTGCACCCAGCCAGGGAGATCACACTCTCCAGGGCACCCTACCCCAACTCTGTCATGCACCGCAGTTCTGAGACCTTGCAGGTCTAGGGTCAGTGGTCTGATCATTGGTTCAGAGGATAGCAGTACATGGTGTGACATCTAGCGGGGAGTTCCTTCTCATGGTTGCAGCCATTATTGGTTCCCTATGGCCTTGTTTTAGAAGTCCTATATCATTTCCAATGTTTTATTGGGTTTTATTCTCTTTATTTTGTTTGATTGTGTTAAATCTGACGGCAGGAGCAACTATTTCAAAGATAGCGAGATATATTATGGTAGCCATTTTGGACTTACTTAAAGCTTGTTTTGAAATGCTTTATTGCATTCTTTTTTGTTTTTATTGTTCCTGTTTTGGTCTGTTCTGTTTGATTTTCACTATGTCCAAAGTTGTCTGTAGCTATTTTGAAGACATCAAAAGGCCTTATGGTAACTATCATTGATATTTTAATGTTTTGAAGTCCTGTGTCTTTTATACTGGTTTGTTGTGATTGGTTTAATTCTGTTTTATCCTCTTTAAAATAAAATGAAAAAATGAAAAAAAGGAATTGTCTGTCTAATAAATTAGGCAAATTTACCTTAATATCACATGTTCATACACAAATATATAGATAAACAAGAAATTTCATGAATGTTGCTATTTAAAGCACTTGACAAGGGCTGAGGGGTTAGCATAGTGGTAGAGTGCTTGCCTAGCATGCACAAGGCCCTGAGTTTAATCCTCAGTACAAAAAAGAAAGAAAGAAAAAGTGAAATCACTCAACAATTTAATACTGTTATATTCTTAACCAGGACAAAAAATATTCATTTTAAGTTAGACAATAGAGTCACAATGACTATACAATAATTTCAACAAATGAGCCTAAATTTAGATTTAGATAAGAGTACGATTGACTAGAGGGAATACTCAGGACTCTTATTCTTTTAACTTCTCTCCTGTTTCTGTATCCTCACCTCCTGTCCCAATTAATTTTCACTGAAAATGAGTTGGTCTTGCTTTGGTTTACTTTGCAAATTCACACAGATTAACTTTGCTAGTTCATTACTATTCTATAGCAAAGTAAACTTCTAGCACAGTAAGCTTTATAGGTAAATTTATCACTCTCACCTGCACTCACATGTTTGAATTTCAATATTATTCCAGTAGTGTCACTCCAGAAGGGCAGCTGAAATCCTCAAAGACCCAACATGTGTTCACTAACCTGCTGTTTTGATGACACTGTCAATGACCTCCACTGGAACTTGCTCATTGCTTATGAACCGGACTGAGTGTCTCTTATTGAGAAGTTCATAAAATTCCTGAGCTCTCTTAACCATTTCCTCCTCAGGGTACCGGGTGTGGGAGAATGGGATGTGTTCAACGTGTTCCTCTGACTCCTGCCACTCATCAGCATCTGCAGATAAGAATCAGATGAGTCACAAGTTCAGCAGTCAATCCATTATAAGGTGGTCACCAGGCAAAGGAAAGTTCCTGAAAATGTCTGTAAGCTTATATAAGCTCAAAAAAGATCAATAGCACAAAGAAAAAGAGAAGAGAGGAGAAAGGAAGGCAGGAGTAGGGAACAGAGACAGAGATAAAGAAGAGGAGGAAGAGGACGAAGGGGAAGAAGGAAACAAAAATGAAGTAGATCTACAGAATCCTGACCACTGATCTTGACTATTCTTTAACTCTAGACTGGTTATAAATCCAGAAAAAACAATCTTTACCTACAAAAAGATGAGGCTTTCAAATTTCCCCTAATGGTGGATTAGGTTATTTGAGACAATTCTCTACCTGATGAAAGTCACTCAGATCACCAAATGTGTTTTTGGAAGCTTTCTTTTTTAAACAGTTGAACTGACAAACTAGTAAAAAAAAATTAACAGACTCAAGTTGAAGGGAAAATATAAACCTATAGAGGTAAGCATAGAAGTTACATTTTCTCTGATTGTTTCTGCTAATCCTTATAATTTGAATTTCCATTTTTGTATTTTCAGTGATCAAGGGAAACCAAAATCATAGTTCAGGCCTACACACAATGGGAAAGCTAACAATATGGACCCCGAGACTCTATCCTTCAGAAAAGTAAGAATTATTAAAATGCAAGCCCTCAATGGCCTATATCATTTTGGTATGTCCTGCCTCAAATTTGAACTTAGAGTAAAGTGGTCTTGGTTGAAAATGCCCCAACTGATTAGCAGAATAAAATGCAAATATACAAATAAACTCAAGTACACTTACTAGCACCAAATGTAATCAGGCACCTAAAGAAACAAAAAATTTTGAACAAGAAGTAGCAGAATCAATAAAAAATATAAAATCAGATGGCTAAAGATTCCAAATACTAGAATTGTTAGGTTCAGAAGATAAAACAATTATGTTATTGTATTCAGAGTGGGAGGAGAAGACAAACACAAATCTATAAGGTACATGAAAGAATAAAATGTGATGAGGAAATAAGAAAAAATAGGATATTTAGAACTGACCAATAACAGAATTAAGAGTTTAATGGGTAAATTTATTAGCAGTAAATTACTTAAAAGAAAAATTAATGAACTGGAAAATAAAAAGAAAATATGAATGAGTTGAAAGATGAAATAGAAAACAGGAAAAAAAGGAGCATAGTCAGGATGTCTAATATAATTTTTTGATAATCAAGAGGTAAAAAGGAGAATGTAGTAGAGGCAGTATTTGTATTCACAGTGGACAGCACCAAAATCCAGATCATTAGTAACTACCATGAAAGATTGTACTTGGACAATCTATCCACTGAAGTAGTGGATAGATTCCTAAACACATATGAATTACCAAAACTGAACCAAGAAGACAAAAAAATCTGAACAATACAATAACAGGCAAAAATGAAATTGAAGCAAATAAAACAACAAAACCCTACTAAGAAAAGCCCAGGATCTACAGGATTCACTGCTGAATTCTACAAGACCTTCAGGGACAGTGTAACACCAGTATGCCTAAACTCATCAGTGAAACTGAAAGGGAAAAAATACCTCCATCTCATCCACAGAGGCAAGAATTACTGTAATTCCAAAATCAAATGTGGACCCAACTAAAAAAGCTAAAGGACAATCTCTTTAATGATGTAAAGGTAAAAAGAAAATCCTTAAGGTACTAGCAAATGGAATGCAGCAAATCATCAAAAAGACGATGCAGCATGACCAAGTAGGTTTTATCCCAAGGATGAAAAGATGGTTCAACATCCACAAATCAGTAAACGTAATATATCGTATAAATAGAAGCAAGAACAAAAATTGTATGAATGGACTTGGTGCACATGAGCCGCAGCATGGCAGCGCACCCATCTGACCGCCACAAGCAACACAGTAAAGCTCATAAAGGCATGCGGCATGGGATGGGGGTGAGGGTGGCTATGGGGAGTCCAGGATCTGCAGAGGGGGATGGCAAAGAACTTGTAGAACTGCAAGTCCTGTGAAGGTGAGAAAAGAACTCAGCAGAGTAGAACAGAAGCATTGTGCCAGCCAGCTCTGAAACCATAACAAGGAGGCAGTTCTGGCAGAGAAGAGTCAGCTAGCGGCAACTCATCAGGTGCTGGTGGTGCCTTCGTATAACAGAATTTCTTTGTCTGAAGCCCCTCACTTGCTTCAGCATAGG